CAGGGCAGCCGTGGTCGAGACCCACACACGCCAGACACGGTGCCGGTGCCACAGGAGTCGTGTCCGCGTGTCCAACCAACCTGGCGCCTGGGCCCAGCCTCGCCCCCGGGCCCGGGGCCAGTGTCACCCCGTGTCCAGGACCCCGAGCCGCAGGGAGGCTGGTGAATCAGAATTCCGACTGCGCGATGGAGGCGGCTTTCTGCCCGGAATTTCTGTCTTTCTGTTCTAAAGTAACCATTGGAATAATTTTCTTACAGAACGATAGTTGCCATGACAACCAGAGCAAATTTTCCTTTTCTGAAACAGATGTCTCATTTAGTTGAAAATTAGAATGTGAGCAAACCCATGGGAAAAATTAATTCAAACTTTAACAGAGCGCTGAGTACAATGTAATCTCTCAGAGGCTAACTAACCCTCCGCAGCCTTCCGCGCCCCGTGTCACCTTCCGACGCGGCTAATTAAGCCGCTTAGCCAATATAAACGACCTCCCCGCGGCCAACCATGCACCCCCCACCCCCGCAGCATGAATTCCGGGCTCCCGACGGAGGGGGTGCCGGTCTACAGGACATGGCTGAAGCAGCCCTGCTATGTCACCTCCTGGGAAGGCACACAGCCCCTGCGCCAGCGGATGTACCAAGTGCTCCTTCAATTAGCCTGGGGAACGGCCACCCCACTCCTCGGGGACTGGGATGTGGGGGTGGAGGAGGCCCAGGGTGCCCATGGAGGAGGGCCAAGTGGTACACCCTGACGAGGGTCTGGTGACCAGAGAGTGAAGTGTGGGGGTTCCTTGGCAGGATACCAAGGGGCACCTCCCTGCACAGCCCCAACCCCACATCCAGGGAGGCAAGTGCCATCACTGCCCATTTCACAGATGCGGAGACTGAGGTACAGAGACGCCCAGAGGGTTACGTGCCCGGATTACCTGGTGACCGGGTGACAGAGCCAGGGCCAGCTCCCGACACAGACCCCAGAGCCTGTGCCCTCAGCTTCCCCCCAGAGCTATGAACGCAGGACCAGATCCCCTACCCTCCTCGCCGAGCCCCTCAGCACAGCGCCACCCCTAGCTCGCTGTCCCCGGGACGATGCTGAGGAAGGCCCCACGGCAGGCGAGGACACGGGACCCAGAGAAGTCGAGCATGTGCCTGAGGACACACAGGACAAGGGGACCTGCACCAGGGTTCCTGCTCCTGCCCCGGTGCCCACGGCCAGCCGCAACAGAGGACCGCGATGCGTGGCCAGGCAGCTGCCAGCCCTGCGCCTCAGCCTGCGGCCCCTCCGAGCCTGGCTGGACACTCTGGCTCCTCCTGCCTCTCATCTGCTGCCCCGGTGGCTCCTTGACCCGCAGCTTTCACGGCTCCCGCGGCCAGGCCCCAGCCCACCCCTTGGGCCCCCTGCCCCGGTTCCCCGCCGCGCCCCTCCCCCGTCAGACACGACAGCCCACCCCTGGCTCCTGCACAGCTCAGCCTCTCCCACCTCCAGGTTTTGGTGTCTCCCCATCTGAACGCCCCTCCTCGCCTCCCCTCGGAGCCCATCATGGGTACTTGCTGAGGCCTGGCTCCAGGACCACCTCTTCCAGGAAGCCTCCCTGATCACCTGCACCCCCAGCACAGGTGGCCCTGCCATTCCCTCAGGGCAGACCCAGGCCCCACCTCTCTCCTGCCCCAGACGAGCCCAGAAGGGCTCCAGAGCGGGTTTGTTCAAGGTGAGCCTGAATGAACCAACGAACAGATGAAGCGGCCCACAGGGGCTCTGCCTGGCTGCCTGGCCCGCAGGCCGAAGCATGACCCTCTCCTCTCTGCACCCTCCCCATGACCCTCCTCTCCGCACCCTCCCCATGACCCTCTCCATCCGCACCCTCCCCATGGCCCTCTCCATCCGCACCCTCCCCAAAGCCGCTGGAGTCATGGAGCTGAAGGCCTACAGCCAGAACAAGAATCCGAGAACTGCCCTCTGCTGAGCGTCTGTTCTCACCTCCCAGGGCCAGCCCAGGGGCACGGTGCCCAGTCCACAGAGGAGGCCTCAGAGGTAAAGCCGGCCCAGGATGCTCCCACCCTCACCCTCCCCCTCTGCTGCATCCAACTCATTTCCCCAGGGGACCTGGCCTGCCCCCCAGGACCTGCCTGCAGCCCATCCCCTAGGGGCGCTGAGTGCGGGGAGCTCTGCTGTCCCCTGGCAGTGCGCCCCATGGAAGTGCCCGGGACTGGGGGCGGCTGTTC